ATTCAGTGGTGGGTACTGAAATCAGTGCACATTGTAGCTCAGAAAACTGTCACCAAAATCTGGAGTTCTGATGTTACTTTTGTGATGGGACCTTTTTAAAGGTCATACAGCCATTTACCTTCGTTAAATTCATTTCTCATAGTTATCTCTTATATTTCTTCCAGATTTAAAAAGTTGAAGAATATTGGTATTTATTCTAGAGAGTATTTTGCCCTTTTCCATATGTAGGCAGTTTTAGTTCTTTCACATTCATACTTCCTGAAGGAAAAAAAAATTATTCTAATGAAGATTCAAATTTTTGTGCAGTTATTATGCATGCATACTCTACATTAATTTTCCCTACTCAGTTCATTCTAGTTTCCTTAAAACTCCTGACTATATGGAATTTAAATATTTAAGTAGATTTCTTACTACTGCTGTAACAAAAAGCCAACTAGCTTGTCATACGAAGTTGCTCAGAGATGTCCTTTAATCATGCTCTTCGCTTTCAATTTATTTAGGCTAGTTCTTTGGTCACTCCCCAGTTTAACCTCTTTATATTTGCCAATACTCATTAATAGTCAAAATTATGTGGCAACTGAATTCATAGAAAGGATCTTTGAGAGATGAGACTAAAGATAGCAAACTTTCTTTGTTCCAGCAAGTAAACATGTGATACATCTAAAGAAACAGAAAAATTACTTCTACAGATGGTGTGATGTGTAAAAATAAAACCATATCAGTCAGACATGTGAAAATGTTGTATTTACTAATCCCTTTAGATGTCTCTGTTTGTGTACTTTTTTCTGCTTATATGTAGTTCATTTCCTGTTGACTTCTAAGTATTTCATCTCTGAGATCATGTCTCCTATTTCTTTCCTAGCTTCTCCATCACCATCCCCACCATGTTTCTTGGTGGGACTGGTATCTTGTTCTACATTTATAAAGGGATCCCTTAAATTTTACCAGCTTTCAACAAAATATGCCTACTCTGATTGATAGTTCCAGGGAGGTGAAATGTCCAGTAAGGGAAAGAAGGATGGCTACCAGATAGAGAACTTCAGTCCATTGACTGAGCCTAAAGAAACACTTGGAAAAAGAGAAAGAGAAATAAAGAATCAGATAAAAATAAAATTCAGACTTCTTTTCTTAGCTCTTTATAGCCTACTCTCTTCCTCCTCAACTGAGATCTTCAAGGGCAGAATCATGCCATTTCTATTTTGGTATCTATAGCACCTACCAGTGCACTTAGCAAATAATACTCAGTATTTACTTGGTGATGAAAAGAATGAGTACTAGAAGGAGGTTGTACTCTTCCTGTTTTTTCTCAGGCCTCTTCTCCTTTTGGATCTTTCTCACTATTTTGGATCTGCAGCAATCAAACAGCCCAGAGGAGACCCATTTGGATATACTTTTGTTTTAAGATAATTATTTTCTTACTATTTTTTCTCAAAAAATAATGCTTTTTATTATTTTTTCACTTGTCCAGTATTACTGAGCACCTGATATGTGTATGGCCCTGCTCCATGTGATAGCAATGAACAAAACAGCATGCCTTATCATATGCCAGATACTGTGTGCCTTGGACTTTATTTACGTTATCTCAATTGAAAACCCCTGTGGAGACAGCATTTTCCTCAATCTGAAAATGAAGTTTCAGAGATTCAAAGCTTAATTAAATTTCCTAGGATCTCACAGCCAAGAAGCAGAAAACAGGAATCAACTCAAGTTTAACTGACTCTAAAATTTATACTCTTAATTGCTGAGCTCTACTACTTCTAGACCATGAATAAAGAAATGGGAATTACATAAATCAGAAGCTAAACTGTAAGGATAAGTCCAATAAATGTTAATAGTTCTTCATGAAGAATTTTTAAAAAACAGTTTTATGGACCTGGATGCATAGAAACTTATTTCCCCCCATATTAAATCTACCACAGTTTGTCTTACCAGGAATATGTATATATATTTTTTATCTGAAGGATGTCACTTTATTTTATTTATTTATTTTTTTAACATCTTTATTGGAGTATAATTGCTTTACAATGTTGTGTTAGTTTCTGCTGTATAACAAAGTGAATCAGCTATATGTATACAGATATCCCCATATCTCCTCCCTCTTGTGTCTCCCTCCCACCCTCCCTATCCCACCCCTCTAGGTGGTCACAAAGCACTGAGCTGATCTCCCTGTGCTATGTGGCTGCTTCCCACTAGCTATCTATTTTACATTTGGTAGTGTATGTATGTCCATGCCACTCTCTCACTTCGTTCCAGCTTACCCTTCCCCCTTCCTGTGTCCTCAAGTCCATTCTCTATGTCTGCATCTTTATTCCTGTCCTGCCCCTAGATTCTTCAGAACCATTTTTTTTTAAGATTCCATATATATGTGTTAGCATATGGTATTTGTTTTTTTCTTTCTGACTTATTCACTCTGTTTGACAGACTTTAGGTCCATCCACCTCACTACAAATAACTCAGTTTTGATTCTTCTTTTGGTTGAGTAATATTCCATTGTATATATGTGCCACATCTTCTTTATCCATTCACCTGTCAATGGACACTTAGGTTGCTTCCATGTCGTGGCTATTGTAAATAGAGCTGCAATGAACATTGTGGTACATGTGTCCTTTTGAATTATGGTTTTCTCAGGGTATATGCCCAGCATTGTGATTGCTGGGTCGTATGGTAGTTCTATTTTTATTTTTTTAAGGAACCTCCATACTGTTCTCCATATGGCTGTACCAATTCACATTCCCACCAGCAGTGCAAGAGTGTTCCCTTTTCTCCACACACTCTCCAACATTTATTGTTTCTAGATTTTTTGATAATGGCCATTCTGACTGGTGTGAAGTGATAACTCATTGTAGTTTTGATATGCATTTCTCTAATGATTAGTGATGTTGAGCATCCTTTCATGTGTTTGTTGGCAATCTGTATATCTTCTTTGGAGTAATGTCTGTTTAGGTCTTCTGCCCATTTTTGGACTGGGTTGCTTGTTTTTTTGATATTGAGCTGCATGAGCTGCTTGTATATTTGGGAGATTAATCCTTTGTCAGTTACCTCATTTGCAAATATTTTCTCCCATTCGGAGGGTTGTCTTTTCGTCTTCCTTATGTTTTCCTTTGCTGTGCAAAAGCTTTTAAGTTTCATTAAGTCCCATTTGTTTATTTTTGTTTTTATTTCCATTTCTCTAGGAGGTGGGTCAAAAAGGATCTTGCTGTGATTTATTTTATAGAGTGTTCTGCCTATGATTTCCTCTAAGTGTTTTATAGTGTCTGGCCTTACATTTAGGTCTTTAATCCATTTTGAGTTTATTTTTGTGTATAGTGTTAGGGAGTGTTCTAATTTCATTCTTCTACATGTAGCTGTCCAGTTTTCACAGCACCACTTATTGACGAGGCTGTCTTTTCTCCATTGTATATTCTTGCCTCCTTTATCAAAAATAAGGTGACCATATGTGCATGGGTTCATCTCGGGGCTTTCAATGCTGTTTATTGATCTATATTTCTGTTTTTGTGCTAGTACCATACTGTCTTGATTACTGTAGCTTTGTAGTATAGTCTGAAGTCCCAGAGCCCAGTTCCTCCAGCTCTTACCAGGAATAATTTGATTTAATTCCTTTAAACAGCTCTTTGAGAAGCATCTTAAATGTGCATTGTTCACACTCATTTTCATTTGTCCACCATCTATGCAGCCACACACAGCAAATTTATCTATACTTGGGTACTGTGGACAGTTTTATTTTACAAATGAAACAAAGCAGGTCAGCTTTTATCCAGATTAATTAATAATCTTTTCGTTTCTTCAAAAACTGCACTGAGAGCCAGCTATGTACCTTCATTAAGATGTAAAAATAAGATAAATAAGAGCCGTGCTCTCCTAGACCTTATATATTGGAATTGGGGAAACAAAAAATAAATGTAAAAGGTAATTTCTGGTGATGAGAAGTGCTATGAAAAAAATGTGAAGGATATGTGAATGAGGTGGGTATAGGATAAGAAGAGGGAAGGCCTCACTGAAGAGATGCTGTTTGAGCTGAGTCCTACATGGTGAGGAGGAGTCAGCCATGTAAAGATATGAGAGACAAAAAGAAAATGCAAAGGTCAAAAGCAGGAACAAATGTCATTTGATTGAATAACAGAAAAAAATCTCTTGTGCCTGCATAAGAGTGAGCTGAGGGAGAGGCAAGAGATTAATAGAGTGATAGGTGGGTCCAGATCACATGGGGCCTCCTTATATGTATGACTTTGTAATGCATTATCTAAACAAATACATATTTAGTAATGGAAATAGACATTCTTAATAATTATATCAGGGCAGTAGGTATAAATCTGGAATTTCTTAGATTACCAGGATTTATAATTACCCCATTTATATGCCTAGGTAAAGAATTTGAATTTTATTCCAATATAGTTGTGAGCCTTTAGATGGTTTTAAGCAGGAAAGTGAAATAATGTGATTTGCATTTCATAAGTGATCACTTTGCTTTTGAGATCAGTTTTAGAGACTACTGAATTAATCCTGGCAAGAAGCGATATTGGTTTCAATGATAGTAATAAAGCTGAAAAGAAAGTCAGTAATTTTGTATATGTTTTGTAGATAATGTAGACAAGACATGCGTTCGATGTGTTAAGGGTGAGAGAAAAAGAAGAATGAAAGTGAGTGCTAGGTTTTTGCCTACAGCCTTTGGGTGAATTATGATATCATTTCCTGATTTTGGAAAGATGACAGAGGAATTGGTTTCAGAAGATGATTGGGAATGAATACAATCAGCAGTTTGATTTTGACTGTGTTAAGTTTGAGTTTCCTGTTAGAAATACAAGTGGATATATCAAATGAGCAACTGGGATATACTCTTTTTTCTTACTCTATTACAGCTTTTTTGCAATGCAATCTGTATCCTCAATAAAACAATTTAAAATGGCATTCAAATATTCCACTAAAGCGATTTTTCACTCTATTATATTTTGTTTTCAATATCTGGTATTTGAAATTGCTAACATTACCAATTGCCTTTCTAGGAAAGTATAGACCTGGGTGAAATCATGTTTTCCCTTTGTTATTTGCCAACTGCTGGACGTATGACATTGACAGTCATCAAGTGCAGAAATCTGAAAGCTATGGATATCACCGGCTCATCAGGTATGCACACAATTGGCTAGTGGGTTCATTCCCAAATAAAATATTCCACATAGACAAAGTTATATATGGCTCTTGAATTACTGAGTTCATTTGTCTGTCGTGGGACACTATAAAAGTAGAAAAAAGAGATTACCAAATAAAGTGCTCCAAACACCTCTTTAGTTTACATTATCATTATGAAATTTTTAAAAAGTATTATCAAATAGATAGACTTTGAACTTGGGTTTTTATTTTTATTTATTTCTCTACTGATTTAGTTCTTTCTCAAACATGCATTATTTACTATACACTTCCCTGCTTCCAACTAGTCAGTTGCTTATAAAGGAATATCCTTGGACTTTAAGCCATTCAATTTAAACTTGTGTTACTCTACAAGTAAGAGTCCTAGGAAGACATATTTAGACTGAATTTATCTCCCTCACCTGATCTGCAAAGAAATAACAACATTCCAAGACCACCATTTGCATTTGCTCTCTTACCACCTTTCTAACTAAAAATTTGGACAACAACAGGGACTGAAAGAAATAATAAAGTAAATAAATACTCCTTAAAGATATTCTTGAAGAAATTCTCTTGTGCTAACTTTGTTAAAGAGGTAAAATCACATCATTCTCTTTAATCCCTTCATTTAAATCACCACAGTTCTGAAGGGTTATTTGTAAGTTAATAGGTGAACTCTGGCACAGCTCTGTGGAAGAAAAAATGATAAAGACAGAGTAGGGAGTTCAGTAGCATTTGTTGAATTAAACAAATAAGAAATAGTAATGGAGATATAGTAAAAGATGACATGGGGAGTAGAATCTATAACTTTTTGGTTCTTCAGAACAAAGAAATAAACTAAATTTGCATCACAAAAAGTATGAGGAAACTCTCAGTTCTAATGTAGAGAGAACTCCAGGATATACTAAGTGAATAAAAAATGAGGTACAAGAGGACTTCCCTGGTGGCGCAGTGGTTGAGAGTCCGCCTGCCGATGCAGGGAACATGGGTTCGTGCCCCGGTCCAGGAAGATCCCACATGCCGCGGAGTGGCTGGGCCCGTGAGCTATGACCGCTGAGCCTGCGCGTCCAGAGCCTGTGCTCCACAACAGGAGAGGCCACAACAGTGAGAGGCCCGTGTACCACAAAAAAAAAAAAAAAAAAAGAGGTACAGCATAAATATGGATATCATGCTCCCTCCTATGTAAGAATGAGGAATCTTAGAATATATATCATGTTGCTAATATTTGCATGAAGAAATACTTGAGTGATACACAAAAACTGAGTGGTGGAGAGGTATGGGGACAGATGGGAGGGGGACTTCTCACTGCACATCTTTCTCTATCTCATTTTTGAACTATGTCATGAATTTCCTATTCATTTTTTAAAATTTGCAATGCATAGGTGAAATATAAAGATAGAAAAAAAGCAAATAAATTCCACAATCATTTTGGTGAAAAGGTCATAGGTAAGTAAATGCTGACGAACTTAAACAGAACACTGCAAATTATTGTTTATTTTACTCTTTCTACCATGTATCAAAAGAGAACCAAATTTCAAGACAAGCAAACAACATCAAAGTTGTAATTAAGTGCAAGACTACTTTTTATTTATATGAAGCTTCTCATCAGGGGAGCGCATGTTTTGAGAACATCACCTCATTAATTCTCACAACAGCCTTGTGAATCAACTAAGGAGCCAGTAAATTGTCCTTGTCACTAGTAGAGAAATGTCATCAGAGACATGATGGGGGTAGCAAACAATAAACTAGGACTCGTTCTCATTGTTAATGAGAGGCCTAGGCCTGGAAGCTCATACATAGAATTATATCAAAAAAATAAGCTTCTTCCTTAGAACATATTTCCTATTATTAAAACACTGAAAAGTAAATAGGAGTCTGTTTCTGCTTTATAAATAAGTTAATTTGTATCATTTTTTTTAGATTCCACGTATAAGTGATATCATGTGATACTTCTCTTTCTCTGTCTGATTTACTTCACTTCTTAGTATGATAATCTCTAGGTCAATCTATGTTGATGCAAATGACATTATTTCATTCTTTTTTGAGTATTATTCCGCTGTATATATATACTACCTCTTCTTTATCCATTCCTCTGTCGATGGACGTTTAGGTTGCTTCCATGTCTTGGCTATTGTAAATAGTGCTGTAATGAGCACTGGGGTGCATGTATACTTTTGGACCATGTTTTTCTTTGGATATATGCCCAGGAATGGGATTGGAGGATCAGGTGATAGGTCTATTTTTAGTTTTTAAGGAACCTCCATACTGTTCTCCATAGTGGCTGTACCAATTTACATTCCCACCAACAGTGTAGGAGGGTTCCCTTCTCTCCACACCCTCTCCAGCATTTATTGTTTTTGGACTTTTTGATGTTAGCCATTCTGATTGGTGTGAGGTGATATCTCATTGTAGTTTTGATTTGCATTTCTCTAATAATTAGTGATGCTGAACATCTTTTCATGTGCCTTTTGTCCATCTGTATGTCTTCTTTGGAGAAATGTTTATTTAGCTCTTCTGCCCATTTTTTGATCAGGCAGTTTGTTTTGATGTTATTAAGCTTCACAAGCTGTTTGTAAATTTTGGAGACTAATCCCTTGTCGGTCACATCATTTGCGTATATTTTCTCCCATTCTGTGGGTTATATTTTCATTTTATTTATTATTTCCTTTGCTATGCAAAAGCTTTTGAGTTTAATTAGGTCCCATTTGTTTATTTTTGTTTTTATTTCCATTACTCTGGGAGATGCATCAAAAATGATATTGCTGTGATATGTCAGAGAGTGTTCTGCCTATGTTTTCCTCTAAGAGTTTTATAGTTTCCAGTCTCACATTTAGATCTTTAATCCATTTTGAATTTATTTCTGTGTACAGTGCTAAAGAATGTTCTAATTTCATTTTTTCACATGTAGCTATCCAATTTTCCCAGCACCATTTATTGAAGATACTGTCTTTCCTCCATTGTATAGTCTTGCCTCTTTTGTCGTAGAGCAATTGACCATAGGTGCATGGGTTTATTTCTGGGCTTTCTATCCTGTTCCATTGATCTATATTTCTATTTAAACAGACTCACAGACTTAGAGAATGAACTTATGGTTACCAGAGGGGAAGGGTTGGGGGGACAGATTGTTAGGGATTCGGGGATTGACATGTACACACTGCTATATTTAAAATGGATAACCAACAAGGACCTACTGTATAGCACAGAGAACTCTGCTCAATATTATGGGACACCTAAATGGGAAAAGAATTTGTAAAAGAGTAGATACAGGTATACGTATAACTGAATCACTTTGCTGTACACCTGAAACTAACACAACATTGTTAATCAACTGTACTCCAGTATAAAATTAAAAGTTAAAATAAATAAATAAATAGGAAACAGCCATTGAACATTTCCCTTTTACCTTGTTTTCCTCTATATACCCTATTTCCAGCCATAAAATGTGTTTTTCCCCTTGATACAAATGCTTATGAAATATACAGAGACATTTTTCTACAGCCTAAAAATCATCCATTTCATTCATTTGCTCAAATAAATTAATGTTGCCATGTTTTTGGCTTATTCTAAGGAAATAAGTTTTGTTACTTTGTTACATTGATGGAAAGAGAGAAAAGATGGTTGTGTTGCTACAGTTGGAGGGTAACTATAATGAAAAAAAAATGAAGGTAGAGCAGACACTGATTGTTTTGACCACCTAGCATACTCACCCCAATGCCAATACCCTCTCCCAAAACCATGCCTCCTTTTTGTAAAAAGATACAAGAAGTAAGGCTTTTTAAAGAAACTTTGGATAAATATTGTATAATTTTCTACAATACTGTAACAGTTTTTCTATTTAAGGTGGCAGGGGTAAGAAAGTAGAGATCAGTCAGCTAGGGCAGAACTTGTTAACAATTATTTGACCTCTTTGGCCCATAAAAATATAACCCGACTAAAATTTTATCTTTCCAGTTGACATTATACAGACAATTCATATGAGGAAACTTCCCTGAGAACATCTGTAAACCAAATATCACCTTTTCATTGTATACTGTTGAGCATTTAATAAATGATTTGTAGTGATCATTTCTTCAATCCAAACTCTTTATCAAGTACTATGACTAAAAAGTTTCTAAGATTAGTACTTTTTCCAACAATTCAAGACAATTCCCACATAGTTTTTGCTAATTTCAATTCACTGTGATTATATATACTTATCTAGATACAATGTTGCTCTTTCATAAATTTTAGCCTTCTTATTCTAAATCATTTTGAAGGAAATTAAATTAAATACAATTATTTTTAATTGTTAGGATTACATTCCCTAGAAATCACTTGGGACAAAACATGTCCTCAAATAGCTGTGACTAAAAGACACATTATAGTTTAGACTGGCTCTTGATAAACTAGTGAGTTTTCTCTGTTGTATTAAACACAGTGATCAAGTTAATTCTTTTCTAGTCCATTCAGTAAGAAGTCCTAGAGAGTCTATTGCCCCCAATTATGCCATTTGAATTTAAAACCGGTAACACTAAAGGGCTTAATATACTACTTTTCTTATTTAGTAACAATTAACCACAGTTTTATTTATGCTTTGTACTATTACTTTCATTTTAATAAAATTGCCTTCCCGTGATAGATCCTTATGTCAAAGTGTCTCTGATGTGTGAGGGTCGAAGATTAAAAAAGAGGAAAACGACTACAAAGAAAAACACTCTAAACCCTGTGTACAATGAGGCCATTATTTTTGATATCCCTCCAGAGAATGTGGACCAGGTCAGCCTCTCCATTGCAGTCATGGATTATGACAGGTACGTTCATCCCTCTACTCACTGAGTAACAGCTACATTTAGTCATATGCAGACCAAATTCAACTTTTCAGGTTATTTACTGCTACAAGAGTTTTAATTTAAACTGGAATGAATAAAAATTATTCATTCAAAATTAATTTTATTCTATGTTATTATTTATCCTTTATCTTTTCCAAAAGACATCATTCTTAAGTTGAAGGACAGGATACCTGCAGATGGTGAAAGAATGGGATACATTATAGGAAGCACTTTTGTGAAGTCTTTTTACAGTAACAACATAAATTACAATCAACGTATTTTGCTTTCCCAGCTGGGCTGGAATATGAATATCATGATACTGAGCTCTATCATTAACTAGCACTGTGAAAGGGCAAGTTATCTCTTAGAAATTCACTTTTCCATTTGTAAAACATCAGTGTAATGTGCAGCTGTGAGCAGTGAGTATTAACGGTAGAAGGTGAATAGTGGCAATAGTGTTATGCCTTGAGGCTTTCACACCAGTCTTAAATCATTGCTTTGTGGATAGTTCTTCCAGTTCACACACTTTGATTACTTCTCCTTTCACAAAATAAATGGCAAACTCCCGAGTGAAGCTCTGAAGCTTCTTCCTGCTGCAGCACCCACTCCTTCCTTTTCTGAAATGTTGCCCTGTATCAACATTTCAGATACAGGTATCTCGTGTATGCGAGATATCTCGTTTACACGAGATACCTGTGTATCTCATTTCACCCATGCTTTACAGCCCTGCTCAAGGCACCACTTCTGTGTCTTTCTTGGCTAACCAATCTCTTCTCCCTCTGAACTTTTGTCCCACTAAAGGTTTATATATCTTATTTGATCTTGCTATATACTTCTTTTTATTGTTTTGCTTTTTATATTTATAAGACTTTCAGAAAGGAATCCTGTATGTTTAACCTACAAAATTATCAACACATAGGCAATGTCTTATTTTGTTCTAATGATAACACAAGTGGGACAGAATACACATACACAAATATTCAAAGAGTGTCTATTTTATATCATTATGCAAATGGCAGTAACCAAGACCCTATAACATAGAGACATTAAAAATGGTATCCTCTGAATGAGAGCTAGAAAAATGAAGCGCTGAAAAATACAGTGATTTATACCATCTATTTGAAATTAGTTTATATCACAGTTTACAAAACAAGTTGACACAATTTAAAGAGAGAGAGAGAGAAATCTTGAATTAGTTAAAATGGCAAACTTTAAAAATGTTGTAATGTTTTCATCAGAAGCCCTTATTCTGCTTTACCAAAAAATTACTCCTATTGATTTCTCACAGCATAGATTGCAGATAAATACAATTGAGGATTCGTCACCCAAATAATTTTAGGGAAATGGACCCTGACAATATATAAAATAGAAAGATTAAAAGTTATTTCTAAAATATGCTTTTTTGGGAAACTTCATATTAAAAGAAAAGATACTAAGCCTACATATCTATTAATACATCAGTGACAGGAAGAAAGTAATGAAATGTCCTAAAATCATCTCAAAACTTTCCTTATAGATAGATGTATGTCAAAATAATCCTCAAGAAAATGCCTTTAAATTCCATTCCATTCTTGAAAAGCAGCTTACCATATGTATGCTTGAGTCAACTGTCTTGATTCAAGTCCTGCCTCTGTCTCTTACTAAGTGTACAAAGGCAGGCAGGTCCCTTAACTTCTGGGTGTTCAATTTCTTTGTCTGTAAAATGAGATGATGATAATGGTATTCATGGTCATGGTGTGAGGATTAAGTGAGTCAGTACATTTAAATTACTTAGAACAGTGTCTGGCACATAACAAGCTCTTAAAAAATATTAATATCATAATTATTTTGATTTGTTGCTATGAAAACAAGGTATGAATAGAAAATAAGAATGTTGTTCAGTATGCTCTGATACTATGCAATAATAAGTCAAATGCCATGGTTCAAAATGTAGCCCTGCCCTGTTTAATTGTAATACAAGCAGTAATGTTCACTGACATATCATTTAGAATCAATTAATTATGGTCATTTATACAAGAAAGTGGGTATTGAGCTCTTGGTAAGAAATGTAGGCATCAATATAAAACATTAAACCTTTTGGAAAGAAGGAGATTAGAGTTACATCACTTAAAGTTAATAGGTCTGCTACCAAGAAAGAAACTCATCACGTAGGTAAGGACCAGCTGGCATTTCTCATTCACACTATTCTTATTATTGTGAAATGTTCTCAATTTACAGAGCACTAAAATGGTTTGTGTGTGATCCTTTTACAGATTCATTTTTGAATGCTGATCCTGTTTAGTAAATTTTAGCCTACTTAAGACTTTTCATTTGACCTGAAGTAGTTTAATATGTAAAATTATCTAGAACTTACCACAAAATCTACTCTTTTAATCATAAGTTTAAAATTCTGTTTAAGGTGTGTGAAATTTATCTTTGAATGTTGGAATGAAAGCAAAATATTCTCCAAATCATAGGGTAGGACACAATGAAGTCATAGGAGTGTGTAGAACAGGACTGGACGCTGAGGGTCTTGGGCGAGACCACTGGAATGAAATGCTGGCCTATCACCGAAAACCAATAACACATTGGCACCCCTTGCTGGAGGTAAGCTCTGGGACTCTCTCACATCTACTCTCTTCTTTATCTCTTGCTTAAATATTATTTATCTGCTAACACTTCACTAATGTTTTATATATTCACCTATTTTTTAAAATAGATATTGTTCTTGCTTTTGTCCCACAGACTCTATCATCCAGTATGAAAAGTTCTGTGTGCCTTGTTGGTTTTTAAAAACCACTAAACTTTCTGAGTTTGATATTCCTTTACAGTAAGCCCATAAAAACTGCAAGCCTATTATTTTCTTTGCATTGTCTGAAAACTCATATCAGTGAGTGGTGGAGCAATCAAGTAAATTCATTACTAACTGGAAACTGAATTTTCCTGCTTCTCTTTTGTGAAAACAGCTACCTCACCTAAACTTCTCCAGAATCCCTAAATAGGGGTACTATCACCTAATACAGCTCATCTATGTAAGGGGACAGATATACATCCACTGACTCTGGTCAGGAAGTAAAAGGGCTCACAGATTTTTAAAAATATTTTTTGTCTGAGTTGAAAGCCTGGCTCTGCTGTGTGACTACATATTACACTCTGTAATAGCAGTAAACTCATAGAGTAAAACTAAATAAAATGCTGAATGCTTAGTACAGAGTATGGCACAGTGTTTGCTCTAATTATAACTAATATTAATAGTTATATTAACCAGAAGAAGTATCAATACCAGTTTCTATCAGGATTTTTAGCCATGAAGGCAGTTGTCAGAGACTATGGGAGTCTCTTGAAGAGTCTCAAAATAAATAAATAGAGAAGAGTCTCAAAATAAATCATTTATATGACCTGATTAACTGAGAGGTAATGCAGGTTGATAAAAGGTTGTATGGTAGAGGGTGGAATTCATGCAATTTAATAAAAAGTTATGATAGCCACATAGTAAGTGAAGGATACATTGCCATCTCTCCCATGGATAAGGTTCTGCTTCTTGTTCTGTCACTAAGCACAGGGTTGAATAGGAGAGACAGAGCAGTGTAATTAAATGTCAGTGAGCCCTGGTTCTAAGCTCAGCTTAGTCACAAAAATGTGACCTTGGCTGTGTTACTCAATACTCTATAGGGAAAATTCGATGAACACTGTATAAACAGCACATGCTCAGACAACAGAGGTGAACTGTCACCATAGATAAGATATCTGCTTTATTATATTAATGTTCCAAATCTTTACCTCACTTCATCATTTAATGTAAATCATAAAAGACAGACAGACATGCAAATGCACATTCACACAGCACTTTCCCCTAAGTAATAGCTCAAGGAGTCCTGAGAATGTTGTTTCATTTCAACAATGTGTATTGTCTAAAGTATAGTCTACTGCTTTACTATCCATTTCCTGATTCTCATCTTTGTTTTCATGTAAAGTTTGAAAAGTGAATATTAAGTCTAAGAATCTAGACATGAGAGTAAATTTTTCTGGGCAGAGAACCACACTGAAGGGAGACATGGATTCTAACCCTTGCTCCTCCTCTGGCTGTCTAATCCTAGGCAGACCACGTATCTGTCTGCAGCTACATTCTCCCATATTTAATGAAAATAGAAATGCCCACCCCTACAGAGTTCATAGGAATGATGTAGGGAGAAGTGAGATAATGTGGCCAACAACTTTTAACTAATGAAAGGACAGATGTTGTATGACCCAAGGCATATTATACTTATGACTGTTTAATAAGAAGTTATACATTTATATGATGAAGAGGAGCTATGAAATAGGCATGTGTTTGTGTCTGAGAACTTGTGAATATTTTTCAGTCATCGTAGAATATATAGGAAGAATAAGCTACAATATGGGCCTCAGAAGAATATCCCAGATATATTTTTCTAGCAGCTGACTATCAGAGGACAAGTGGGCCAAAAAGATTATGTAAATATACTTTCTCTAGCAAATAGCTTCTTTTTTTCCAACTCCTGTACCTACATTCACTGATCAAACAGAACATAGAGACTGGAGACCTAACAACTGGCTGGATTTTGAATTGTGGGAAAGTGTACATGTGGTACATGTGTAATTATGTTTTGTTGCCACAGCAGGGATTAAAATGAGAAGGGAACAATTATTCAAGAGCTGAGTAAGTTAGTAAGAGGAGACTAAAGCATCACTTGGAAAATCTGGCTACTTGTACCTAGATACAAAAGTTTATTCTATTGTAATTAAACTTTTAAAAGACACATAATATTTAAAGACCATGAGAAATTATTCTTTATCACTCGTGGCTCCCATTTTCTCAGTCCCTCTCATCTCATTAATTGCTCCTATAAAAATCACCTCCTGCCTTAGAGCAAGTGGAATGCAGCCTCTTGTGTCTTGAACCTTCTTGTTCTTACCCAGCAATTGCCCCCGACTGTAGTAAACCATTAGTTATTTTACAATAGAACTAAAATCCTGTGATAGAATGTGAAATGAATCTGCAGTTGCTCTGCATGCCATCTATGTACCATGCGCTACCTACATCTCTGTTAGATGTTTGTGTCCCCTCATGATACCTGAGAAGGTGAGTTCTGAAAGGCATGGGGAGTTATGTATATTTTCTCTTCAGAGGCTTGCATATCAGGGGTGAATATTCACTATTAAAAGGTAACAACAATTACCCACTTTATTATTTTTTACACTAGATCATATATTATGAAATTATTATCTTTCAGTTACCTGGTCGGGCAACCAGTTTTGATAGTCAAGGATCCTGTCCATCTCCCAAACCACCTTCCACACCATAATGCTTTCAAAATAAGACCATTATAATAAGGACCCAGGACCGTGTACTCATCAGATAAAAAAAAAAAAAAAAAAAAAGAGGAAGATTTGATCTCATTTAAAATATATCCTGATAATGAACAAATGATGTGCAATTTTTATTTACCTTTTTTGTCTGTTTATTAACTTTGGACATCTTGATGTATTTTACTTGAATACAAATGGTCCTTACATAAGGCTTTTTATTCTTTGTGTCATATGCCAATTAGCACAAAGAATGTTTTCACTGAGTTGTAAATTCTTTGCATAAGCAAAGAATACATTTTTTGAAAATAATCCATACTTATCTAAAATTAAATAGTTAATGCTGCTATTGTATAAAGAAGCACATGTCACATATGTATGGTTTTGACTTTATTAAAACTATGTTCATTTCTAGCTGTGCACATGTTTCTATATACACTTTAAGGGAAATTCTGAACTTTACTCACAGCATTAAATCCTTGAATAATCAAATTAATATACTTATCTGATAATATATTCTTTCATTCTCAACAAAATCTTTTCTTGGTGAAGTTCGGCTCTGCTAAACTCAAAACTTTTTCTTTCAAGCTTGTTCTTTAATATATAGAGAAACAAAACTATAATTGAAGAACCTCTTTGAGTATAAACTTAAGAAGTAATATTTAGTAGCTGGAAAATGGAGATTGATCTATTTGGGCTACTATTTTCTATTGTCTTAAAGTTACATTAGTTCAAACATCTGTAGCACTATTTAACTCATATTTTAAAAATTCTATTACTCTTAATCTCAAATGCAGCATTAGTATTCCTAAGTGAATAGAATCAGAACTCATGAGTCTTCATAAGTTTCTCAAGTACTGTGACATGTTTATTTTGTGACATAAAGCTATCACATAGATCCTGTATTTCTGATAGGCATACTGACACCAAAGATACAATAAATGTCTGTGCTCATTGTCGTTTGGATTGTACAGAGTAATGGGGACTTTTAAACTCAAACAGAAGTAATTTTTAGAAGTGGATATTTTCTTAAAGAAAAAAATGACATTTTTCAGCAAATTATAAAACTATACCATAAATAATACAACTTGAACATTTAATATAAATAAATAATTCTTAAGGCCCAGACCCACAGTCTTTTGTGAAAGGCATTTGCCTTCATAAGGATCAAGGATCAGGTCACTAGTCGTAAAAACTATGCAAATGTTTTTACATGACAGAACTTTCTTTTAAATCATGTCAACTTTTTATTGTCTTGTTTCTGGGCCCTATTGGAATATATCTATATTGAATGACCCCCAACCTTACTTTTGAGATGTGTACCATGGATAGTGCATATTTCAAGCTTATCCCAAGAGAGAAGGTTAAACCCCACCCCCCCAAAAAAAACTGAAAAGCAAGAAAATCTGCAGGTAGGCTATAAAAACATATTCATCAGAATGAGAAAATTTTATCAGCAATTACAATGTTTTGATTTTAGTAAAATCCTTTATTTTTAAATATTAAAAAATACAAAGTTTCAAAAATCTTGAAATTTTGTATGTTGGCATCTCTCATATGATGGTATTACTATTAATTAAGATGTAACTATTTTACACATTAACATTTTAAAGTCAAACACAGTTCCCTAAAATTTTTCAAAAATGCTTGTGCCATCTTAATGAAAACAAGTATTCCTGGTTAACATTTTCTAATTTAAAATAACTAAAGAAACCTGTTGGACATACCTGGTTACCTTATCAAGCCTAAAAGAACCACTTGCTATAGACAGAATGAGGATGACACTTCCATTTTGTAAGTCTTTGTTTTACTGGAAAATAAAATTGTCAAATGGGAAGACTCAATGAAATAACATATTTGGAGACAATTGTTTATAGGTATTGCTGCAACTTACAATTAATTAGCAACTCTATTTCCTTAGTATAATAATTATTTTCACCTGAAAATATATTTTAAGGGCTTTATATTCATGCTTTTCTTTGCCTCCTATGGAGATAAAGTCAATGTTTATGATGAAAAATGCAAACAATCAGCCAAACAGGAGACGTTAATATGGCTATCGTAGATTAAATGTTTAAGGTAATTTTTTTTTAATGTTTCCTAGGGATTAGAATAAACTCACCATGACTGAGCATTTGTTAATCTTTGAGAGATTAAGGAGAGAAAATTAGTAACTCAGATTTCGTGCATCATTTAAAATGGTAGTTCATATTATAAAAATGTAATTCTACCATTTTCAATACAATACACCATCACACTGCACAGTCGTGCATCCATACAAACATAACTTATCCTCTTTCTACCTGTGGTTGAAGATGGAATGTTTTTCATTTCAGTATTTAAAATAAGGTTTGATGTTACAGATATCCTCCACTAATTTGTGTGGAACACCACATTTTAATGACAGCACTGACACATTATGAAGTTACAATTTAGGTATATAATGAATACCTAATTCCAGGGACTTATTCAGGGACTTGCCAAACATAAATCTAAGAAAAAGGAACAAGTGTTGACTAATTAGCATAACAATACTGATGTTCTTTTTAGTTTTATTTATTTTACCTGATTCACTAAGTAATCAGGTGAATGAGGAAATTGAGTATGAAAAAATATTAATGTTTGTGGAGTATATAATCTTCTCACAAAAATCTGAACAGCTGATGCTTTTTTTACCCTGGTTTCTTAATACTTTTATGGACAATTTTAATTTTTTTGTCAGGTCAGCCCTGTTTCTAGTACTTTATTTTACATATAAAACTTATGATGTTAATACATTCATAGTTCAGTAAAAAATATCGTCAGGACTAGTGCCAAGGAACTAGAGATGGGAACACAGAACCAAGCACCCACTTTCTTATGCAGTTTTTGGGAGTGATTGTATGTTCTAGTTACTGAAGGGAGCTCACAACTGATTGCTACTGACTCAGGTGTTAGATAAAAGCAAAATATATTTGAACCTACTTGGTTGTGATATTTAATTGACACCTGTCTTTATTCTTCTGTAATGTCTGTTATTTTAATATTGCAAATGCAATAAAAACTATCAGCCTCTTAAGGCTTTAATTTAATGATTAATTGCTTCAAAAATGAAAAATCCAAACTTTCACTTCTTTCTCAACTTTTACTATCCATGAAACAAAATATAACTCATTTCAGAATGAGTTATCGGAAGAGCCAGAGACTATTGCAAATAAAGGGACACAAAATCTTAACATTGAAAACATTGTTATTTCTTTACCTCTTTAAAAACAATATTCAATATCATCTCAGATATATTTTCATGGAATGGATTTCCATATGATTTTTTTGCCACTTTAGTTGCAATTATGACCAAGTAATTTAATTACCTGATAATTTTAAAAAATGAAAGAAAGAAAACTAGAGGTGATGAGGATTTAAGAAAATCATTCATCTTCCAACTAAATCTGTTCTTGAAGCAGCTCTTGTTGTTCTGATGTACTTTAATTGATTTAAACTTTTGTAGTTTGTAGGCTGCCAAAAAGAAATGATACAAAAGCATGGAAAGTAAAATAATTTAAATTAAGAATCTATATAACTAAATGGCAGTTAAATGCAGATGTTAAAGCATATGGAAATAAAGATATTGAATGCAAAATCAAAAACCACCTTTGTATTTTAACTTTTAGGAGAAAGTAAATTCTCTAACACTGTTCAAAAAACCCATGACATAGCATTTTAATAGTTACTCAATGATATGGCTCAGGATGTGATTCATCTGAACCTACTAAGACCCATTATTTAAAAGAAACTAGTGAGTTTTTATTTTATATGGGAAAGAGAGTTAATTAAACTAAATGTTTCCAATATGTTATTCAGTGATACTCTTTAAGGTAATAATTTTCTATTTCATTAAAAGACTTCCTATATTTGTTCAATCTTATATTAAAGTGAACAGAAATTTAGTTAAAGATGCATTGGTAATACCTGTAATCTGGCAATTACAGTTAACCAAAAGGATGTGCATTTGAACAGTGGCAATTAATTAGTATTCAGTTCAAAGGTTTTCTCATCAAAGCAAGAAATTGTTTTTATTTCCGCCCTGTTCATTATGAAGATTGGTAACCAGGGTTTGACTTAATAGCATGATAATATCATGCTGTAGAGACCTTAAAAATAAAGCAGTAAATTAAGGTCTGAGGTGGGACTTAAAGATTATTGAATGCAAACATTTTGGATATTAGAAATGGTGATTGAAAAAATAAGTAGAAGATATATATGAGAAAAGATAGATTTCTTCATGCTTGAAATGATTTAAATACACTTCTATAAGGAGAATTGATTACAATAGTCCTATTTTTATCTCTTCTGAAACACCGGAAATGACTTGCCATTAATGGATCTAAAGCTGCAGATAGTATTTATATGGAAATGTTTTAATCTCAAACTGACGATGATTTCTTTGAAGCTCAACTGCGTCATGAATACCCTCTCCAAAGAACAAACTATGCCTGATTTTGTCATAAAAGGGTAAAAATAGATCATTTTCTTCAGAAATTTTGTTGTGATTTGCATCTGCTATGCACAGGACCCCTATTTACTGTACAGGATGGTGGATTTCAATTATATATACAAAATATTTGCATTTATACTTTTTTATAAACAAAAAGTCCAACTCAAGTTTATGTCATTAACTTTTTATTGACCCTTCCAATTGAGATAAATTATTGGGTTCATCTGCAAAATATAGATAAATTATGGAACACATGAAGTGAGATCCTCATTGAAGAATGAAGAAGTCAAATAGAAATATCTCACACTGTAAATATGATGATTCCACTAATGAATATTCCAAAATATTTGCCAGTTATTCTAAACTGGCAGAATACATGAAAATTCTTCATTTCATACATGACATTGAATAATTTGGATTCATCATATTTGATTTTTTTTGTATCCTTCAGTCATTGTTCATAAGGTGGCTTTTTAACTGAAGTTTGTGATATAATATGTAGCCTTTGTTCAAATCAAAATATTTGACTTCTGTATTATAGAACAAAATTTTTTTAATCTTTTGAAATTCATGTTTCTGGCTTTTGTACATGGTAACCAGCCATTTGTGAAATTTGACAGCATATAATTGTATTACTTAGAACAAATGTTTTGCAACCACCTTTAAAAGATGTTACACATTTCAGTATTTTTACAATGTCTTCTTTAAAATGTGTGAACATATTTGTTAGGTTCAGATGAATTATGAAACAATGAAACCTCAAAGCTGTTGTGAAGTGTACAGTTTATGAGATTACTTTTGTAAAAGAAAAAGGGAAAGCACTTGAAATATAATTTTACTGTTTCATATGTATTTTGAAAATAAAGTGATTATAAATTATTTTTTCTTGCCTTTGAAGAAAACATCTTTTTCAGATTTAATTTTGAGACCTTTATGTTGCTAAGTCTTTCTTTAATAGTCATTATTTTTGGCACTCATTAGAGAGCAGAGTAATTCATTTATCAATAATTCAGTAACTAGAGCAACTGAATATACTTTAAAAACCTCACTTAATACATATCATTATTTTAACAAAATTATAAACTTAA